TTTTATTAAAATTATTAAATAAAAAAGGACGGTACTGAATAGGAATTCAAAAATGTAAAATGTAAATAATGATGTAAATAAATAAGTCAATTGACTTAGTAACCGAAAATCAAATTTCACCGACCAATGTCAAAAATTAACAGGCCGTTAAACAAAATTAAGCACTTTTTTCTGTGAATAAAATATTCTGAATTTCAATTAACGGCTTGTTAATTAACGACATTGCTTGGTTAAATTGGGCCTAATCGTTCAGTTTATCTTTATCACGCGAACGTAACCGCCGCCTGTTCGTTTTTTCCTTTCAAACAATTACATTACATTAGTGCACTATGTTTAAAATTTTACTTGTCTATTAACATTTTCTCAACAATTAAGAATATTTAAACTCTTCCACTTACTATATTATCACAAATATAAACAATAAACATGAAATTAGAAAAAAATATTTAATGATGTAATTGTTAATTTGATGCTTCTTAAGCGGCGATTTGATAATTATGAATAATTGGACTAGAATTGAGAGTGAAAAAAAAATTTTGCACAGGGAGAAAGAGAAAGAGAGCTCTCTTTCTCTTTCTACATCCGACGTCACGAGAGTAAAGCTAAAGAGCGCGCCATATATATAACTGAAAGCGATAGAATAATAGTGAACGCATGCGCGCGTTGTAGATGTACGCATCAGACGCTATGAGTAGCTGAGGTAGCACGCGCCGGGTGATTAATATTTATCATTGTGTTATGTGATTATTTACGTTGTTTACGTTTGTATCCTATGATTGTTTGATTACGTGCGTGAAGGGCTGTTATCTTAGTATATTTAGACTATTGAAATCTTATCAATAATGACGTTTCTAAGTTTAAGGTGTGAAACTTCTAAAACTTAGAAATGACGATTTAGATTACGATGCTTATACGGTGCCATACGCGAATATTTTATAAAAAAGCGGATATCATTATTGAAGTAAAACATGAAAAAATGGTCAATTGTAAGTATATAAAACAAGAAATCTTAGCGAAAAAGATTTAAAATACAAACAGAGTTAATGAAATTTGTATGAAAATCTATATTTTACTAAGAGGCAACATCAGACGAACTTGACGTGGTGCGTGATGCTCTTGAACTTGACTAGCGTGAGCGGGATCCGAGTGCGCGTGCGCCGTGCCGTTCCGAGAAACATGTCTGGGGCTCAATTCTCTCTTCTTGTCGGTCTTTAAACATGAAATATTATCACAAGTTAAAAGGTCCTAATTTTGTAACATGTGACGAATTATTTCTTACGATTTGATCTTGAAAGATGGAAAAATAGTATTTTGAAGTAATATTTCTTTAGACACGATTTGAGAAGAAATAATATATTTTTTTGAAGCAATTTAATATCAATTTTCTTTCATCTAAAATCGATTACAATTATTTTGTTCAACTTAAAATGCTTGGTTTGATTTAATTTTTTCAATATTGGCCAAAAGCCATTTCTGACCGCCCGGTCCACTTGAATTTCCCGGTAGATAAGTAAAAAACTATCAATATGCCCAATATACCATATACTTATATATATTGAAGCATAGTATATTGTCATGTTAGCCATATATTTCATTAAAGACAACCAACTTTGAAGTAACTGCAGTAGTTTCGGAGTTGTAATGTTTTTCTGTATGACGAGGCGCATACCGAAAACAGGAGGGCCAAAGACCTTTGATTATGCTAACATAATCGATATCTATTTAAACTGCATTTTTTTTTCATATTGTGCTATACAGTTAATGCAAAGTAGAAATGACATCATTTCGTACCGCGCCTGATTTGGTCACGACTATAGCTCTAATCAAATCAAAAATAAGTTTATTTCGTAGGTAATAGATTTGAAAAACGTCATTAACGAATTGTTTTCGACATTAACATTACCACCTATTCCGAATGTTGATTTTCCTTGTGAATAATGGGTAGAAGTGCAAGGGTTGCCTTTTTTTATTTATTTATACGATATATTGAGTAATTATTTTTTTTAGTACAACACTTAAAAATAATATAAAGCAACCCGATAGCCGAGCAGTTCAATACAATGGTTTTTTTTTCATTGAGATATTTAGACTTGGTATAACAGCCCTTGCCGTTAAACTTTCGTTTAACGGAAATTTTAAATTCATTAAATGGAAAGTTTTGAATTTCAGCTAGGGGCTTATTAAATAAGCGCACACATTACCCCTTAAATGATTTGACAATTCTGCTTAGGCGTGTTTTGCACAAGAATTGTATTAATGTCCGCTGCATAGCTCCATAATAATATTCCCAAAATCCCATAGATCATGAGACTATGAAAGGAGTTGACAATGTCTCGTGGTGCTTTCATGAGCAAATCGCTGAATACTTTTCACTGCACATGCTGAAGAACTAAGCCTTTTCGCTGATCTCGTAATACGAGAATTCCAACGTAATTTAGCGTCTAAAGTGAGACCAAGAAATAATGTATCTTTATGTCAAATATCGAAAATAACTCGATACCAGCACAGAACAACGAAAGGTAGGTGGTGCTTCGCGTAATATATTACCTACGCAAAGTTTAATCCGTATAATAGTTAAAGTGGCTCGATTCAGTGTTTTATGGTTGTCAATTGAGTGTATTTACATAAACAAATTGCTCAAATGTGACAAAATTGGTAACACTAACAAGACTTTGTCGTTATGACATCACTATCGATTCGTTGCACTTCACTAAGGTTATTATTGTGTTAGCATAATAGCTGAGGGATATGTTGCCGTCAAAACATATTATACCTGCAGTCTCTATTTTATGTTTAGTGTAAGCCATATATAAAAATTATTTAAAAAAAAATAGTGTTGTTTATCAAGGTGTCAGTCAGCAGCGTAAAAACTGTACGGTGCGAGTCATCCCATACGCGTAAGTGAATCAGGTGTCATGTGACAAAAATTGCTTTATTAATAATGAACGCGCTCGCTGCCCGCCTTCCAGCTACGCGGCGTGGGATCCGTTTTTATTGACAAATGAACTATCGCATTACATGTAAATTTCTCATGCAACATTCTTGCTTTGATACCGATGGATGGTCACGGTAGTTTGCTATCAGATTACAGCATTTCGCATTCTCGTGAACGTACTAGAACAAACTGTATGTGAAAGTGAAAATAGGTTTTGTGATAGGTGTTGGTATACATCGCGGTATTGGATGTGGACGCGAAATAAATAAAATAAATGAACAGGTGTTGTTAACACCACGTGTAATTTTTTATAAGTCAATATGATCTATTTCTTTACTTTGTAATGCTCAGCATGAAATTATAGCTGTGAATAAAAAATAAACCACATCGATGAGGTTATTAAATAAGTTAGACAGATTTAAAAAAAAATAATTCCTAGGAAAAAAAATGTCTACTTAACGGAATCAATATAAGTAAGTGTTATATTATAAAAAAGTCTCAAAACGAAGGCATAAAGATTTCGAGAATCACAAAAAAAATATAAACAATATCATTAAGCGTGTTCTGTCAAGTCTCATAAAATGAAACGTAATTTTAAACCGCCTCAAGCAGCAACATCTGAACGACTGCAAAACGCGAGAATCCCGGCGGCGCACATCCAGTCGTTTGACTTCGTTTAGCGACGGCGGGCGCGACCCGAGAGGCGACCCTGAACGCGGCTAATTTTAGAAGCGAGCTGCACCGGCCCTTGCGTGCCATAGACAAGGATTTAACGCTGTATGTACGCGTTACGTGCCGTTGCCCATCGGCGATGTCACGAACGACATTTTCTTTGGAAAGGTTTCGCAAATACGATTTCGTGGTGATGTCGCCGCAAGGATTTTATGTGCATTTTCAGATTCTTAAAAGTGCGTACGTTGTGTATTACATTTACAATACAAATTTTGAACCCATAATTATAAATACTATACTAATATTATGAGTCGGAGGTTTGTTTGTTTGCATGCGTTCAGGAACTACCGGTCCGATTCGAAGTTTTTAAGCTATTGTATAGCTTTTATCGCAGGCTTTGAGCGCGGCGACCGAATCAAGAAATTCCGTAACGAAAATAAAACCTAACACCCCCCAGTCCGCTTACCATGTAGCTCGACCGAGCGTTCGCTTAACGTGTATGTATATGGTACGACTGTACGAAGCTCGCACGGATCGAGACGAGCTGCTCCGAAATCGGATGAACACGTAAGCAGCTGTTTGTAAGAAAGTATATACTTGTATAGGTATCTATCATATCTTTATAATGCCACACTCACCGCATGTGCCCCGTAAGTATACATGTAGGTATATATGTATACATAGGTATACCTATGTACAACAGTGAATAGCAGTTGCTGGTGAATAGCTATACGCGTAAAATTTGTGTATAAAGTGTTTTAAATATGAATAAACAAAGTGCATTTATTAAAGAAGAAAGTGATGAAAAACTAGAATTAATATCAAAGAAAAAAAATACTGCATAAATAAATAATTATAATTGCATAAGTTGATAAAAAATGCTATGCAATAGCTTTACCGCGTCAGTCCCCGAGAGCCACACGTTTAATTTTTTTTTTGTGTTAGATAGCTCGTTTATCGAGGAAGGTTATAGACTATTTAGCAAACCAAAAATTATCGCGGGTGAACCCGCTGGATACAGCTAGTTTATTTATAAACCTCTAATAAAAAATGCATTATTTTATAGAAAAAGGTGTAATAAATGTATTTTCTAAAAATACTTTTTAAGTGTTGCAAGCAATTGATTTTGTATTATCGTCAGTATTGCATCATCTTTATATTTCACGAAACATTTTATATCTGTATTGAAACAGCTGAACAATTTTAAACGAAGTTCCCTCGCTATATTCTGTATTAAATAACAGCCAAAATATAATAAAATATTTTTTTTTAATAGTAATTAAACGACAAACACAAAAAAAAAAAGAATGAGGGGTTGTACTTTTTTTTTTAATTATTGTTATTTAAATTAATATTTTATTAGTTATATAAAAAGCAATAGAGCTAACAGCCAACACTACGCGGTATTCTCAGGCGGTCACCCATTCAATTAGTGACCGCGCCCGACTCTGCTCGACTTCGGTGATTAGATGAGAACCGGTGTATTACTACCTGATGTAGACGTCAGCGATTGGAAACGTCAAAGATACGGCTGGAAGGAGCCATTGAAATGCCATTTATAGCGAAATGTCGTGTCGGACACTTTTTACAGCCTAACTTTCACTAGCGTAATATCTGGAGTGCGACGTATGATAAAGATCCAAAAAACAGTACCTAACAACATTTTTATTCGCAAATAAAAAAAAAATCGAATCTTCATGCGACATATTAGAAAAACGGTGATATTATAAATGTTGCATTTCTTTTTATATACGGAACCCGATAAAATACGACGTAAACATCCAACAGAAAAATTACTACAATCAATTATGAAGATAGGTCCCGTAATCGTATTGGACCATAACGTTATCGATATTGGAACAGCGACCGCGTGTCATACAATAGTGGCGAATTGACATCTGGAAAAATGCTTAACTGCCAGTGAACCATCGGCGGGACGAACTCGTGATGGAATAACGAATGACTCGACGAAATCGTAAAATTATGGCGGGTAGGGATTAGCGAACGGTCGCTTTAGTAGCACACTTTTGATTACGGCTGACCCCAAAAGAAACCTGCACCGTGAAGCGGCTCGAACCATCGTAACGCCTACATCGGTTTGGCGGAAAAATTACTTCAAACATGTGGTGAAGTTTTGAAGGCGCAGTGCACTTTGAGCTGATCCCCAATGACAGAGCTGCAAATTGGGATTTTGCCAATAGCTGGATAAAGCGTACGCAACGCTGATACGAAAATATCTGACATTTGTTAGCGGGATGAGAGTGCCGGTTCAACGCTGTTATGAATCTTTATATATACAAGTAATGCTGATCCAATATTTTTATTGCGTTAAAAATGACTTTATAACTGAAAAATTGGTTAAGTGTAAACTTTTGACTAAATTCGGTATATATATACTAATACATATACATCCTACATTACTTTTTGTAATTGTTGGCTGTCGTTTAGTGGAATACTTTTATTCATTTGATTTCGTTTTATTTATTATATATATTATATTTTATTTTTATTTTTGAACTACGATTAAAAAAGAAATAAAGCTTATTATTGCTCCATTTGTAATACGCTAGAAGATGTCACGAGGCGGGTTGTACTTTGAATAGATCCAATCATTCTTTTATATAGCGTTAACTCGTGCAAAGTTCCAAGAAGTTTTGATACCAATAGAAGGTTCGACAATGAGTCTTTGTAATTTTGTATATTTTGTATGTACATTTTAGGGTTTCATAACAGACAACACAAAAAGAAGTCCTTATCGAGGCGTCTTGTCCTCTCTATGTGACAGCCTCTGTTATATTTTCATCGATTCTTATAAAATATTACAGGCAGTGTCCTACGTGAATCATTATACGATGATGCGAATTAAGGGGTAATCTTCCATTTCATAGAATGAAAGATATTTTGTCCGCGCATTTTAATATTTAGGATGTTGTTAAATGGACACGTAAAAAACATGACAGGTTTTTAAGTGAGTTTTTCTCTTCGGTGTCCAACAAACTTCCATAATCATTAACTTTGTACAACTCTAACTTTTCTAACATGCAATAGAGCTTCATAAATAAATTCACTGAAAATTATTCAGAACAGAACATTTGTGCCCATACTATGTTTAGTTAATTTTAACCAACTTATGATGGTTACTTTTAACCAACTTATAATAAGTGATGCGATACTCGTTTGATTTAACCATAATAGTGCAATTACAAATTTTCACATCGTTTCGCTCGTCGATACGGAACCGTAAATAGGGAATTCTAATGACCACCTTTGCTAGTTTTAAACTAATAGAAATGACAATTTTCTCATATGATACATAAAATGTCACGCATTTTGATATACCACCGGGCACAATTTGATCGTGACAAAAAACGGATTACGGAAATACAATTGCTGCATAATGAAAAAAATATATATCCAGAAATTTTCTTTTAAAGTACACAACACTACAATATTAAAAACTAATAGATTACTCGGGAACAGAGGTGTTCTTTTTTATAAGGGAAGCTCAAAGCCATTAAAGCGACCGCACATCTGTCCGCTGCGCCGTGACGGCCCTCGCCCGCCGCGCCCCCTCGCGCCCGACCCCGGACCCGCCGGCTCGCGGTCTCCGAACGTCCATTTTCGTTCCGCCATGCTCACTCGCCTCGGGTCTCGATCGTCTATGGTTCGCCGCAATTAGTAATTGGTTTTATCGCGAAAATCAAACATAAGCTATGAATACCTAGTTATCGTACTGGATGGAATTCCGATGACTAAATATATCGCTGATGTGTCTCTATTCCGAGTATTTGTTTGGTAATAGACGGGCGCTGATAGCTTTACAGGTTGTAGCGAATCATTTTGTAGAGGAAAAAAAATTGCAAATACTTTGCAATACTAAATACATCGCGAACATGAGAAATCTTTGCCTAGTTATCAGTTCCCATAGGTAATAAAAATCTACCTGATTTTTAAACAACTCCAGTTTCTAAAAGAAACTAGACAATCCGCATACTACTAGATCTCATATAATTATTTTTCGTGTTGTTATTGTATCGCCGCTAGTTTCTGTCGCTAATTATAACAATAAATGTATGATTCGAAATGAAATAATCGAATCATGCATTTATAGTTACAATAAATTAATCTAACAAATTTTCCGAGCACAATGGTTCGATATTAAAAATAAATTTTCTCGTTTCAAAATAGATACACGATCTTCAAATAATGATGATTTATAAAACTTTAATTTGATATAGTTGAAAAACATTAAACTCAATGTTTTCAACATTGAAATATTAATAATAACTCAATGGTTTTCAAACGCAGCCGTAAACCAGCTTTATATAAAAAGCAAAGGATGTAAATTCTACACTACAATAAAAAAATATACTTTATTGCGAAGGCTGTACGTTTTATTGTTTGATAATAGGTTAAGTCGTAGTTCTATTTTGGAGACGAAAACAACCAAATCTTTTTCGTCAGTACTTCGCTTCACATCTTAATTTGCTCAAAATGTTAGTTAGCATAGGTATGAGGAGGCGAATGGTACTAAACACTTTAAAGCTTCCCTTAGCAGCTCTAGATATTCTTTGCGTTTAATTCAGAACACGACAATTGTTTTGTCAAGAAATTTTATTTTGACCAGGCCGTCAGCAGCTGAATCCATAAGACTTTCTCTTGTGGACAGATCAACCAGTTACGAATAGTTTTTCTTTCAAATTATGCAAGTTCTGCATGATAGATGGCATATTTTCATATTCCATCTATGATACGATTATTTTACATCCATTAGCGGTTGTTCCGTCGTCATTTTGTTGTTTACAGACAAGCGAAAGACTTGTATGTAATCTTTTTTTTTTTATACAGGGGTTGACCACAAATAAAGACTTGTGCGGAATCCTTTGATTTCGTCCTTGGCTGTAAGAACGTATTTTTCATTTCGCGCAAAAAAATGCACAATTGGTGCGAGCTAATTATTTTATTCACATATGATACTAATATAAAATGCTTACCTAAGTGGATACTGATTTCATTTCAAAATCAGTGTAGTGGTTATATTTCAATCCAGGGTCCGTCACATTTTTAACATTCAATTTTTTTTTTTCGGTCGCTGCAGTAATGACCCCATTTTCAGCGTAAATGTGAATTCGGTCTGGTGTCGTGATTTCGAGTCTATGTGAATGATGGGATGTCAAAAGATGCGTGTCGACTAAGACTACATGACGGTGAAAAAACCGTTTTCAAAAAGTTTCATAACGTTTTGAGAAAATCGTGAAAAATCGCTAAAGAGAGTGTTTTAGGGGGTTACTGTTTAGATATTTTTTTAATTTTCTAATTTTTATATTGAAGGTTGACTCAATATTAATATTTTTTCTTTTTTGATAATAATGAAAATTTTTGGTATTAGGAAATTTTTTAGATCGGTTTGTTAGAACCAATTTATGATTTATGTATACCTAATTAATAAATATCGATTTTGCACTTATTTATGTTCTTATTCCTTTTATTTTATAATTTTTGTTTTTGATCCATTTTCAATGTATCTGAAGGTCGTGTAGAGTTTGAGATCTATGAATTTTTTCACTTAAAAGGAAGTCACACGTTACATAATGTTGAAAAATTATGAACTAGAGTATAGAATACTATTTTTTTTTATATTTAACCAAACAACATTAGTTGAACGCCATCAGTAAACTCCATATTTTTCAAACATATTATAGACTACCAATTGCAGCGTTCTAATCAAACTCAATTCATTATTTATATCTGTAGCGACAATGTGCATATTTGTCTCATATCCATCGTAATCACGCCTACAATATAAATACAATATATAACAACGTCATCCCTATTGGGCGGCGACATATCTTGATATCTTTGACAGGCGTGAAAAAATATTACTACCCTTTGTCTTAACTTTTACTGAAAAGCATCTATAAATAATTAAATACGCAAAAACGACATTATTGCCACGCGTTGCTGCCACCATTTTGATACAAATAAATTTACTTATATAAAATGCATTTTTAGTTAAGTATATTGATACCCATTACGCGGAGCGGGGTTACCTTTGACAATAGCATACAAGCTCATAATTCCCACTCTGATGGCATTTGAAAATCTTACATGCCTTTGGAAGATCATTGCCTCCGGTCTAGAGCTTGCACCACGTATCGCCGCACTTTCCCTCAACGTTAAGCAATTTGATTTCGATATTCGTCCGACTAGTGTTGCCACACGTCAGATAATTACTTAAAAGGTCGTGCGATTTGCTTATAAATCAAACTCCGGCCAAACTTTGTAGTTTGCCAGGCAATCCATTATAGACAAGTACAATTTTCACTCGTGTAGAGAGAGTTCCGTACTGTAAATTATCGCATCGGTCCCCTGAAATGAATCGACACATTATATACAGATTTTTTTTCTTCACAATTATTTTGCATTTCCAATTTAAAGACAGTTTTTTTGTGTAAACTGTTAATGGGACCATATCTTATTTAATTTTATTGGTTTTGGATATA